CAAAATCCAGATTGACCCTGTACCCAAGTGCACGAATCAGTTGCATGTGCCAAGTTTAATGCCGTGGATGAATTGGGGTGTTAGGTTATGATTTGGAAACCTTTTTTCTCACTTGCGGCTACATTACTCTCAGCTGGTCTGTCGCCCGAAGGTACGTCCACAACATTTATCTTTCTTGAGGCCTTTCCTTGGTTAGAGTACATATGGTGGAGATTGAGATCATGGAGTCTGGATGAAACAGTTCATTAAGTATCACCTTGAAAGGAAACGTTAACACATAAAGTTATGTCTTCTCGGAGCAAAAAGCCATCAGGAATCACTGTTTCAAGGTTGTGTTTGTCTGTCTTAGGGGAGGAAAAGTGATTGAACAGATTTATCACACAGGTAAGAAGATGGGAGAAATACCATTGACCCAGTAGTAAGCGACGTGGGCGTAACGCTTACCTTGGATAAGACAGTCCGTGTTCTCTATTACAATAATGGAGATGAGATATGGCAGAAGAGACTGGATGAAGATGAGGATCCCGAATGTCTGGACACTGCAGAATGGTTCAACCCTACGAGGTGTGTCCCACAAGTTTCCACCCTGACCATGATCGGATCTCTTAGTCACAACAAAACTGTTTGTGTATATGGAACAGTACTAAATTATGAAGAAGAAGCATGAAACGCATAAACTGCACAAACTAGAACTGTTTATATATTTCTGTCAAGCTCCACTACCCTCTCCTTTGCTCTCAAAGAGCTGCTCAAAGTGGACAAAACAGAGCGTGGAGCTGGGATCCAATATATTCATTTTAAAAGGTATACTCCCAAGCAAATCTCGAAGACATGACACAAACAATTGGTGATACTTAACCTCATATAGAGCAGTAAAACAGTGGGGTAGACAAATCACTGAAGATGAACCACGTTCTGATCGTCCCTGTAAAGTCAGCACCGAAGATAAAGTCAATGTTCTTCTTGACACAATAATGCAAGACAGGCGTGTGACTATTGGACAGTTAGCTACTGCACATGGCATCAGTAAAACGTCAGTAGAGCGAGTTATTCATCAATATTTGCAAATGAGTAAGGTGGGTACCCAGAATGTTATCAGAGAAACAAAAACGTAAAAGAGTCATGGTTAGTAAACAACTTCTTGATGACTATCGGATAGATGCCCATGATTTTTTGGCTCATCTGGTAATGCAGGATGAAACCCATGTTCAACATTTTGATCCTGAGACGAACATTATGCTGTGGAATCACTTGACCTCACCGACGCCGATAAATTTCAAAAGAACTCCCTACAGTGGCAAGTGTTACGAGAGTGTGTATTTTGTAATTTGTAATAACATTGGTTAGGTGATAATATTTATGAGTCACAATGTTTAAAGTTTTGAGTGTTGGTTGTGGGTCACATTTCGAGTCATATATGTTCAGTGGCAACAGTAATTTTGCGGCACGCCTTTATGATAGCGCTCCAGTGTTACCTCCCTTGACCGGATGTTTATGTGTTGACGTCGTCGTGTCGTATGTTCAACATGTTTTGAGAAAGATCTAAGTGTTTAATGATACAGCCATGCTTTGCTGGAAAGTTCGAGAATCTGTGTCAGTATATATAAAGGCTGGCTGTTGTGTGGTGCGAGGCAAGGACTGACACACGGACTAACACATGGATTTATCATATCACTGGAGTTGTGTTCGTCGTCGTCTGTTCATCAACATCGTCTGACCTACATTCCATGCTGACCGCTCTCTTTGTAAACTACCTTCAATTAGAATATCACTGTGAATGGCAAGACTCTGGTGAGTTAATATTTTATATTTGTGACCCATTACTTTAGATTTGTGACTCAACTGCATTGTACTAGAAATCTGTATTGTGATTCATTGTAGCTTGCTCATTGTTTGTTCAATATATTATTGAATATTTTAGACTTGTCTGTGTTATATTTTGCTGGTTCAAAGAGGGAATCTTAAACCTTTTTGTCACGGCAATTATTTAACCGTAACACAAGATTATGGCCTCCGTTGTCTGGGACTCGGAGCACAATTATCATAGACTATTTACAGAAGGGTGTCACCATAAATGGTGCATATTATGCAGATGAACTGCCTAGGTTACGTGGTAACATCAAAGACAAAGCAGGGGAGTCTGGATGCTTCAAGATAATGCTCCAGTTCATACTGCTCAAATAGCATTCAGCGCTGCACAGGGCTGTGGCTTTAAGATCCTCCCACTTCTGGCCCATTCTCCAGGTCCAGCCCCATCTAACTTCTTCCACTTCCTTTGATTCAAATCTGTCTCAAATTTGAGACAAATGAGCCCGTTACTACTGCCACGGAGGACTTTTTATGGTCACGTTGTTTTCGGATGGGTAACAAATGTAGGAGAAACGTTGGATCAAGTGTATCGAAGTCAAGGGTTACTATGTTGAAAAATAGGTAGAAAGATTTTCATACATATCGTATTTTCATGGTCAGGCCTGGTGCTTCTGGGACACCACTCGTACTCGTACTCGATGGTAGGTTTTCGACAAGACCCATGCTGTAGGCCCTTTGGATGATTGACAGGTTGCACTATGATCTGAAGAGTGAGTGAGTGAATTAATACTTAACGTCACATTGGCAATATTGCAGCCATATCGTGACGAGAACAATTATATCAATATTCGAATCAATAAATGTATAACGTAAAACCCTGTCATCGAAGGACAGTAAAAATACTAGATTATCACAGCTCTTAATTTAAAACTAGTACGCTATCATAAAAATACATCACAATAGACAACCATACAATATTAGATCAGGCTATAGATCACCAGCAACTGAAGGTTGATCACCATACTAAGGACCATGGGGACTTACAGTACCTTTGCTACCTACATGGACCCTAGTTGGATTTAGATAATCCCTTCAGCCTCTCTGGCGAATGTAGTCAAATTTAGCCAGAATTAAATCACAGATATTCTACGCTTTAAATCCTGGTTTGAAAAAAAGTTTGAAATTTACTTTGAGAGTTTTGGGACAATAATTTTACACTACTTTAATACCCCCCTTCAGGGTACAGCCACTAACAATCTAAGGTACTAACTTAAACTTCCAAATGAATCATTAAAAAATATTTTACGACAAACGGTATCAATCAAACTTTATCAATCAGTTCAAGTTTCTTTTAAAAACTTAATAATTAAATAATAATTAAGTTTGTTAAAAAGATCTTTTACCTTCTGAACACTGAAATATTTATCCCTTGTGATTGAAAAAGTCAAGCAGGACAGGCTATAGTCTGAAGAGGACTGTTTCCAGAAATGGTTTGATTTGGGACCAGAAGGAGACTCTGGTTCAAAACATATGTGCATCTTATAGTAACGGTAAAGACAATGACAAAGTTCTGTATACATAATTGGAACAAAACCAGTATGTGTACGTTCTCCAGTAAATATGGTCAGTAATAACGATACTGGACATCAAAAATTCAAAGATACTGATCTATGTGTACAGGGATGTCATGCATAACAACATGTGTAAGAAACTAGTTTTATAAAAGTTTCGTAAATTCAAAAAAAAAATGTGATTGCGATCTATATTCAGTTGGCCACACAAGGTAAACACCGTTAAGCCAGTGTTTGCAGCATTAATATTTCACATCAATACCTTTGAGGATAAACAACCGCCTCTGTGGTGTAGTGGTTAGAGTGTCCGTCCTTTGAATATATTCAACGCCATTAATAGAAAATAAAACGTTAAATCTCCATGACGAGTTTTATAGGGGCGATCTTATTCTTCTGTAAATTTGAATGATCCTGCTGATCACACAATGATCTATTTGACAATATAAACTAGTGATGCGGCGTCTTTGGGCTATTGTCATGAAGTCTGTTAGAAGTCAGCCGCCAGTACGTTTGAAAGTTTCACAGCAGTTATTAGCAGACTATTGAATAGGTACCAATCTTCACACGATCGACTAAGTTCAGGGCATCCCAGGTTAACGTCAAGTGTGCAGAATAGACTGATTTGAAACAAGAATCTACAAAATTGAGCTCAAAGGGGGATTCATATATTGCTGTAACATTTTCACCAGGCAACTAGATAACAAGTCACGGGTCAGGCGGTTTGAAATCCTCTTCATGAAGCTCCCCTATCTGCTCGCCCATCACAGATCAACGGTTTCCAGAGCTTTCGAGGACCCTAACTCCCAGCATGACTTCGAGTTTTTGTGTCTATTTAGCAACATAACTTGAAACAGTTATAAAGGGACATGTGCAAAGAGTATTGTTTTCTTTAATTTGTGAAGAGTATATAGGTGGAGTTAACTCTTATGAATGTGTGAAGAGAAGACGCAGTCAGTGTAAGGCTAATGTTAAAGTTAAAGACGGAGGAGTAGTCGGTCGTCTGCATGATCACACACATCATGCACCTGCTAGCATACAGGCTGGCCATCCCAAAAACGAAACGAAAAGCCTACCGTGACAGTGCCAAAAGACTTGCACGTGTTGTTGAAAATATATCTCTATGGTCATTTTGGAATTTTTAAGAGCCATCTCCCACAATCTGTCCTTTTAAGTGAAGTGAAGTGATATTTTTGAACTTTCTGAAAAATGTGTTCTAAATGAATCTGACGATTGATATGTTGTGTTGCATTATATAGTGCTATAAATATTAAATATATGAAGAAATTTAAAACTATTACGTTACCTTATGTGATTTTGTTATGATGGGGGGCAGTTGTCTGGGGAGCAATTAACCCAGGGGGCAGTTGTCGGGGGGCAGATAGCCAGGGGGCAGTTAGCCTAGACCCATTGATAGTGTTTTGAGATGTCAATGCACACTTGCGTTGTTCAGAGTCAAGAATTCTGAAGGTGGTCCCTTCTCCTTTGAAGATGTTATCAAATGATAATTTAGTCCCAAACCACAGACGATAATGCTCATCCAAGCTATGACTCAAGCTAATGGTTCCGTGTGCCTTAACAAAAATACCTTGACTTTGTTCATAAAGACTGAAAAGAGTTTATTCACTTTTGTAGGTTTTTCTTTCTACGAGATGGAACTACAGGAGACATAGAAACAATAACAAGAAATGATACTACACATAATTCCAATAAATAAGTTCTAAAATTTGCATTTTAAGAATATAAAAAAGTGTATATCACAGAGAAAAGAATAAAACTCACAAAAAGAGATTAAAATCTATATCTTGTCTTAAAACGGTATTCCTTTTTTTTAAATTATATAATCTTTTATTTATGGACTTAAGTAATAAGGGCTTTCAAATTAAAATACACATTAAAACTGTATCCTCACATCCTCATAAAATTAGTTTCACAGTTACCCGACATTGGCAAGGAATGCACATAAGAACATCTTCCCTTTTATTAAGAAAAGCATGTGTCACGTGGAAATGCCCTACTCGCCACCAACGTAACAACATCATTTCTACGGCACGGGATATTGATATTGGTATTATTGATTATTGGCTGAATGTCATTCAGCTTGTTTGTTGTCTGTTCATCCCAATGAAGCAGTGAAGTGTGAGTGCCGCTCCCTATTGCATAACACACTTCAGAAGGAAGGAAACTCGTGACTTTGTATTTGTTGTGTTCAGTATATGCACTAATCAGTCTCATATCCTCAAAGTAGAACCAGTAATACTTGACACAAAGCTGCATTCTCAATTAGTAAAGAGGACTAATGTAGCAATGCTTATGTGCAAAAAAGCTATCCATGCGCAAAAGGGCTTTGATGAGTCAGTTGTAGCAAAAACGAAATTGTCTTCAAATGTGGGTATAAATAATTCCACACTCGTCCTGAAAATGAACTTGTTTCCTTTTTGTCGTGGTAGACATCTAATGGGTTTCAGTAAAAGACTGTCCTAATATTGTATGAGAATCACGAGAGTGTTTCCTGTCGATCACTGAAAACAAACTCCAACATAGGACACGGGACATCAGACAGTGAATGAAAATTTACGTTGCTTGTCCCTGATGGTATATTAGTGTATACACCTTAGGGGGTTTGAAAGTTAAGAGAATACTTTGTTGGTAACACTTTCTGCCAGAGTTTCCTTCCGTACATGTTGTTTCCTCCGTTTCTCCATTTAGGAAGCTTGCATATGTCACACGTGTTGCTCTCAAAGATGAAGTGGGTACACGATGACGACTCTCTGCATGCAATAGCGCAATCGATGTCTGATTCCGCAAGGAAAGACTCCATGATCTCCAGACGGATTGCCTGTGGAGCGTATCGGAAGAGACCATATTCCTTTTCCGCTGAAATACAATTTTTTATACGCTCAGTTACTGAATATTATAGAACAAAGTTCAAGACAGCAAAGACATTGTTATCGTTCGCTATGTTGTAGATTGGTAAGTCACGAACCAAGTGATAAGTCTCTTTATCACCAAAATAGTACAAATGGATTTCTCTCAGAGATTTCAGGCTCCCCCGTGTTTCTAAGGAAATGTAATGAGCGATTGAGTTAAGATTTAAAGTCACATCGGCAATATTTCAGCCATATCGTGACTAAAACTAGTTCTAAATTCATAATAAATACATTTAATATATAAAACCCTGTCAACGAAGGACAGTAAAATTACTAGATTATCACAAAATGGGTTAAAACTAGCTAGCAGATATCTTTGAAAGTAGATAACTAATTTTGAACAATACAATGTAAAAATGGGCTAAAGATCGCCAACAGCTGAAGGTAGATCACCATACTAGGGACCATGGGGACTTACAGTACCTTTGCTATCTGCATGGACACTAGCTGGATTTACATCATCCCTTCAGTCATTGAGGTTTATGCTGAGATTTAGCAATACATTAAAATGACAAAAATACTATGGTTAAAAAATCCTGGTAGACTTAAAGTTACTTGAAATGTTTTGTTACTTAGGTACCCTCTCAGGAGGACAATAGGAAAAGTAATGTAAGACTGACATGACAGTGAGGTCGTCTATAAGCAACAGATTGAAGTTTATCCAACAGTTAAAACTATATTGGCGCTGTGTTCTTGTGGTCATGTGCGTTTGTGTCATTGGCGTCACGTTGATAGTGAGGTCTATCTATAAGCTGTGTTTTCACCGTATGGTGAGATAATATACCCAAAGGAAAAAGTTATTGTGAAATGAAGTTTGCTTTATTAGCGATCTCTTGAATGACATTTTCGATCTGGTCAGAAGAAGAGTGTGTTGAAATGTTTGAAGAACCAAGCCATTGTTGTTCAAACTGCATGAAATTTGCAAGATGGGTGACATATTCGAGAACAATGGCCAGCAGTGTTCGCTGTAAACAACAAGACAACCTGACACTTATCATAATCACTCAATGCAGCTTCACTAAATTCAGAAGTAAAAACAAACACATCTATTCATTGTTATGGAACACCCTATTTAAATTAGCTGTTAAATATGAAAATGACCTGATATTTATGCCATAACTTAAAATTACCATTTTCATACTTGTGATGAATTCGATTGTGGATGAGATCTAAGAAACTTACACACATCCTAATAACAATACAAGTTAGCATTAACGTCTTGTCGAGAGGACATTATAAGTTGTTCTTAGGGCTCAGGGAACATAAACAACATCGAGGGTACATCAACCCATGTCCCCCTCGTGACCAGTGAACAACGTATTTATCTTACCGAACACCTCAATGTTAATTTTGAACTGTTTAAGCACAGGTATCGGATCATAATAAGGTGTACCAGAGTTAGGCAATACCGATAACAGAAAAAACATTACTAACAGTAAGTACCAAATGAATTCCCACCGTTGGGCATTCCACGGTTAACATAGAACATGTTACTCGCTTTTGAGCGGGTAAATGGATTGGCTCAGTTAATCGGAAAACGTCATTTATGTGTGAGGTAAGATAAAGATTATTGTGTGAGAGAGGTCATCTTCTTAGGGACAGCATCGTGTCAAGGGAGAGAGACCATTCTGTCATCCTGTCGATGTGGGGGAGGGGGGAGATGTACACAGACTATCGTGACAGGATGGAAATAGGCAATCGTTTCAAGAAAGACTTCTAGTAATCAGTCAGGAAGAACATATAACATTATGTCAGGGAAGAAATTGGCCATTGTGTCAGAGAGGACATGGACTACCTTGTCGGGGTGGACATAGACCATCGTGCCAGTTCAGGTTGGTTACATGGCGTTACTGAAGACACACTTCAATGCATGTACTGTCAGCAGGTCTAAGAATATAACATTGAGAATAACTTACGAACACAGTGAGGCACATTGACACTAAATCGCGAAAGAAACGTTCCCTTGATGGTACAGCCCACCCATCCATAGCTGCCCATGTTCATATAGCCTGGCTCGCATTTGAAGGACATGGTGTCCATCCAGTGGGGCGTCTGACGGGTAGCTACTGCGTGAGGGTAGAGAAGATTCGGATCGCCGCAGGTTATGTCTGTAAATGTTACCAAAGTTAGGCTTACGAAACGTCTTTTAGTTACGTTAAATATTCAGGCGCATGTGCTTAGAGGTGTGGTGGCTGTGGTTCTTAAGGGGATGTGGATGTGGATGTGACCGTTGGTGTGTGTGAGTGTGGATGTGAGTTTGGGTTTAAGTGCGGTCTTAGTATGCTTGTGTGTGGGGATGTGAATATGATTGTGGTTGTGGACGTTTGTATTGGTGTGAGTGGGTAATAGAGGTATATGAGTATTAATGTGCGAACTGCAAAATATAAGGGACGTGATATAGATTGGCGGAATATAGATGAATTTGTACACCGCCTATACCGGCGGTGTTAATATTTACATCTATAGTGCATTTGCAAGATCATTCATGTGGGATTCTGGGAATATGTAATATGTTGTTGTGCGACATTAGATAGATGAGCAATACAGGAATGAACATGCTTGACATAACTAAAAAAGGACAAGCGTTTGGAATCTAACCATAACAGCAATACCTGTAGTGTTATTATTTATAATGTTAGTGTATCAGAAAGCCCTTGAAAATGCGGTTCTGCCAAGGTATAATGTGCATTCGAGTCACACCTGATAGTCGGGCTCTGCGCGCCGTTATATTTTGCTGAAACCGGATCAAATCTATGATCTGGCGTGCATGCTCCGTCGGCCCGTCGGCGTTATGACAGCTATACTTTATCACAAAAGCCGCCGCTATTGTCACTTAATTAGCTTTATATCACACTCTATATATCACATCTACGTATCATCATTGTTTTTATAACGTCTGTTTGACCTGTCCTCGTGGATTCGTTGTATATACATGCACATCTCTAGCTTCCTGTAAATCTAATTATCACTTCATTAGCTGTCCATCACTCTGCTGTGTTTACTGTTTAGTCTGAGGCGTGGCAGGTGATTTCCGGAGATGTACCACTAATCAGCAAATTTAATTTCGTCACCGTGAAGATATCCTCCTTTTGATAAGCAGCTTTGTGATTTTATAATCTTGTCGCCCGACTGATTTCGGCCATGTGCATAGAATGCTTGGTTTTCATTGGGATGGGCAATTCACACCTTTTGGCGTGCCCTTGCCCCTCCAAATGGACGTCATGCATAGAATGGAGATGGGCAATTCACAATTTCCTCCTCTCCCTTAAAACATCCGACTTGGTCACATGACAGTGACCTTCATCTAAACCATTCCATTGGCTATCTGGCGTGGGGACGTGGTAATATAAGTGAATGCTCACAATATCATCATCACAGACCGAGTGTCTTAGTGGACGAATACCAGTCGGCGTTGACGATCCCTATTGGCAAGTGAACTTTACTTTTATTACCTTTTGCTTGTTTTAATAAGTCATCTACGCTGCTCAATATATCAAACTGATACATAGCATAAATAGGGTTCTTAAAATATCCAAGTACAAAACTGTGACATCAAGGCCCTTTTCTGTAGCTCCCAGAAACATAGTACAGTGAATCTTTGCCAGTATGCCTTCCACAAATGTATCAGTGGTTTGTCAAAAGTGCAAAACATATTACAAAGGCGTTGCGCATTTAAAAAAAAATGTTATCCTAACAGTTCTACTGCTGCTATAAACGCCATTCATGCCCAAAATCGCCGCCAAAGCGAGTCTTATACAGCTACTCAGCTTGTGTCCATGTCGGCTCTATTGGCATTTTGTGGCACATTCACAATAAACAAAAACCAAATCCCTGAGTACATCAGGGTACTAAAACACTTTGGCCACACAATACAAGGAGAGGACGCACCTGTAGCCTCCTTCAAATAATAATCCAATGCCGAGTACCAGTACTGGTTTAACTGGGTCGACCAGAAATGGTACTCGGTATAATTACCAACACAACTCAGTCAGGGCTAATCTAACTAACTCTGGCTTATATGATAGGTTCCCTGAAAGTGAACCCACACTTTCAGGGTTTAAGCAATATTTAACCAATATTCTTAAAAAGCAGGGCGTAATGCTGGGGACACATGTCGCCGCGTTTCTAAGTTGTTCTATTTTATCAAAAAACAGGTATTCCCAAATAGTAATATGGCTTGTATCAATTTTGATATATTTGAGCACGTAGATGAAATACATCATTTCAACATGGTATTTTCGCAAAACGGGGTTTCTGCAGGTGCCATTAAAAATTACATGGCAGCAGTCAAATCCTTTCTCACCTACTGTCAAACATATGTTAAAATGTCACCCAGGGTTTGCGATAATTTGCGTAGGTTTACAAGCGCTACAAATTGTTCATATACAGGTGTAAGTAAACAATATAAACGCGAGGAAGCCCATAAATCTGTTGCAGAATTCAGAGATGAAACCAGGCAACCGCCATCCATTTCCGTTGCTCAAAAGGGATACACAGATCCTGCAACCAGACAGGAGGTGAGGGACATCCTGATCGGGCCAAGGCAGATCGACAATCCGATGACGATCAGCGCCTGGTGATGCGGTACCTGTCCTGTGGGATAATTCAACTTGGTCATCCCCAAAGACCTTCGGTGGCATCCTGTATGAAGTTGGCTGACTTTGATAAGGCACGATCCGTTGGCGGCAGGTACCAAATTTCGTTCATGGACCACAAGACGTCCACGAGCTTCCTGGTCAGCATAACCTTGTGCAAAGAGGAGTACAACATGTTCAGGGATTACCGCCGGTATATACGTGGTGACATGCCTGAAGATGTCCAGCCGGAAAAGTCCCCTTCTTCAGAAAGGTGGACAATGGTACCGAAGTGGGTAACATGTCCCTCGAGTTGGCCCGCTTCCAGGGCGAAAGAGGTTTCTTTAAACCCAACGAGGGAAATAAACGTAAGACATTTACAGCCACGGATGTTCGAAAAGCTTTGGAGACTGAAGTGGCAAGGCAGCATCCCGATGATGCTGCAAAACGTAAGATGGCCAGTGACTATCTTGCACATGGCCCAAAACAGTAGATAAATATTATGCTAAAAACACCCTTTACAGGCTGCTAGTGAGTGTGCATTTGTAGCCGGTGTCATCAAACAAGCAGCTAGTGCATCAAACGACGGTGAGGAACCTGCCTCGGCGTCCATTCCAACAGCGCAGCGCCTTGAGCCCCAGCCCCCAAACCCCAAAGGTAGGGGGAAAGGAAAAGGCAAAAGTAAAGGCAAAGGCAAACTCATCAAGCCCAAAAGGTAATAAATTAGGTGGATAGTGGAAGGTAGGGGGAAGGGAAAGGTAACAGTAACAGGGAAAGATGATCAAACCATAATCAACTATAGGCTAGAAGTAATAGGATATAACCTGTAATTCCATAACCTAATGTCAGTATTGACGCATTAGGTTTATACAACAGTAGTAAAGGGGTTCGCTGTTCGAACTTGCTGTTGTGGGAATGGTGCAGGAAAATGAAAATGGCACTCTTTAAAAGAGCAACCTCCACGTGGTGAGTGCTGGTTAATACGAATAGCTCTTAAAGTTTCTTTTGGGGTGGTTCCGACGAGTTATAAATCACCATTGTGCAACTTATTTGATACGTAGACGTACGTGTATTTCGTAATGTTTATCATTCATTTATATGACAATGTATATATATATATAAGGTCTCTTTTTTTCAGCTATAATGTCTATATGCAAATTCGTGTCTAACGAATCACCCCCACTATCAGCAGGGGTAATAAGTCCTTCATCCGTTGTGCGATCCATAATATCTATAATGCATATGGGCCCTTTCAAATTTGTTTCTAACAACGAATAACACGTACATCTGCGACATTTCCCATCTGGTGTGCCGACGCTATCAGCGAAAATCAGTGCTTGTTTCGTTTGGTAATTATTTCTATATCTGATGTTGGTCCTTGACAGCTATAATATTCATTATGCAATGTTGGATTTTTAATATCTATGACGCATTTGAAAGGCCTTTCCAGTGCCCTTCTAACGATGTATAACATGCACATTTGCGCAGTTGCGCAAAGGTACCAGTGTTGTTCGTGTATAATGGTCATTTCCCGGTCCCATGTGCTATCGGCGGAAGATGTTTTTTGTGCATAAATTCATTATGCAATGTTGGATTCTTAATATCTATAACGCATTTGAAAGGCCTTTCCAGTGCGCTTCTAACGATGTATAACATGCACATTTACGCCGCTGCGCAAAGGTACTTTAGATGTCCGTATATAATGGTAATTTCCGTCTCCAATGTGCTATCGGCGGAAGATGTTTTCCGCATAAATTCATTATGCAATGTTGGATTCTTAATATCTATAACGCATTTGAAAGGCCTTTCCAGTGCGCTTCTAACGATGTATAACATGCACATTTGTGCAGTTGCGCAAAGGTACCAGTGTTGTTCGTGTATAATGGTCATTTCCCGGTCCCATGTGCTATCGGCGGAAGATGTTTTGTGCATAAATTCATTATGCATAATACGATTCTTAATATCTATAACGCATTTGAAAGGCCTTTCCATTGCGCTTCTAACGATGTAAACATGCACACTTACGCCGCTGCGCAAATGTACTTTAGATGCCCGTATATAATGGTAATTTCCATGTCCCTATCAGCGGAAGATGTTTTTGTCATATAAATTCATTATGCATAATACGATTCTTAATAACTACAACGCATTTGAAAGGCCTTTCCAGTGCGCTTCTAACGATGTATCACATGCACATGTGGAGTATTTTGCAACGGTGCTCCACACATCTGAAATTGCCGCCGTCTGTGTTGTTCGTGTCACCTGCGCCATCAGCAGATGTAGTGTTCGGCTATAATTTATATGTCCATGGTCCGATTTTCACTATGTCTAATGCAGTCGAAAGCCCTCGAAAGTACGCTCCTAACGACGTATAACCTCCAGACATGTGCGATGTTCTGCTGAGACGTTACGCACGCCGGTTTATACCGCCGCTGGCACCCATGAAAGGCCACCTCCTCGTGGTGGGTGCTGGGTCACGCTAAGCGCCTTCAACCCCGTTGTGGACCCGGGGCATATTTTGGTCCACCAACCCG